CACGCACCCACAAATACATGTGAAATAGCAGCACTGGCTCACCCCCTCATTATTTATTTCAGCACTTTTTATTATGTTTTGTTGGTTGTTCTTGTTGTATGTTATGCTTACTGCACTGTTTTATTTTGTTCATTCTTTTTATTTTAGAATTAGATTTTTTTTCTGTGCAAAGCTCTTGCTTCATTCTGTCATTTGTTGTATTGATTGAAAGTAATTTCCAAACAAGTAAATCTGGGGGGGTCCCAAGACTTATCTCAAACAAATGCTGCTTTTTATATGATCACTGAAACCAGTATTAAAATAGTTTGGGTCACAGTCTTATTTACCAATCTGTGGCATCGTCCCTGTTTTTACACAAGCAGTAATAGTTGTAAGAATCAAGATGTTCAGCTGCTCCAGTGTTTTGGAGCCTTATTTGTCACGTTTTCCACAACATTATGGGTGGTCTTGAATAAAGGGCAATTTATTTAACACCTAACGCTTTTATTATCAAAGCTTTAATGATAAAATATAGCAGAATGTTTTTTGGAAGTGTTTGATTAGACAGACTTTCTTTGGAAAACATAAATAACTTCATCAGATGTGTTGTGATTATTGTACAGTATATGTTTACTGTTTTAAAATGGTTGCATTCATCCACCTGTCTGAAAACAGCTGGTTAAAATGAAGGGGGCGTCTAATTCCTAATCTTTATTTGCAAAATCACCATCTGTTAGATTAATCTATCCATCAATCTCTTTTTACATTCCTCCATGTCTGTTTGTCAATCTATCATCCCATTCCCATAAACTATCCAGCAGTCTGCCATGTTTGTGTTTATGCATTTAGCAGAAACATCTATCCATCTATGTATTTGTTTTTCCATCATCCATCCTTCAAAAAATGTATTTGTTATTCCAGCCACCTGTTTTTACATCTATCACTCTCAATTTCTCATCCATCTATTTGGCCTCTATGCATCTGTCAATCTTTCCATCTTCCAAATCATCCGTTTGTCCTTCTATCCAGTTGTATCGCTTTCCATCTATCTTGTCATTCAGCAATTTACTGATAATATTTAGTCATCTCTTTATTTATTCATCTGCCATCCCTTTGACCGTCCATCCACTCATTATCTTTGTTTTTTTATTTGCACAATAAATACCTTTTGCACTCTTAGCTTTTTTTAGGTGACTTAATATTATTAAAATGTAAATTTTATAGTTATAAACGTATTAATTTACATGCCTAAGAAGAGGTTCATGGCATTTAAAAAAAAGGCATACTTTGCTTATTCATTATTTAAATGTCATATTGACTATGACAGATATCTCCATAATGTTGAATTAAAAATTAAAGCTGACACGAATGTTTTCTTCTTCGACACTTTAATTTTCCTGTCTTTCCTTAATCAGGAACCACACAGAGTCAAAACCCCACAAATGTCCCCACTGTACTAAGTCCTTCGCCAACTCCAGCTACCTGGCTCAGCATCTCCGCATCCACACTGGAGTGAAACCTTACTCCTGCTCGTACTGCGACAAGTGCTTCAGACAGCTCAGTCACCTCCAGCAGCACAGCAGGTAAGCTCAGCTCTCGTCTTGGGTTTCTCACCTACCTACCTGTCTGTCAGAAGAGTCTGTGTACATGTTTGTTTGTTTGTGTTTTCTTTTAAATTTTATCCAGAATTCACACCGGGGATCGGCCTTACAAGTGCACACATCCAGGCTGTGAGAAGTCCTTCACGCAACTCTCAAATTTGCAGGTGTGAAATTAAGTGGTTTATTTTAAACATGTAATAAATATTTAACATTGGATTTTTCTTTTGGCTGTTTTTATTTTTATTTTTTATATATATACTTTTTCCCAGTCCCACCGGCGTCAGCACAACAAAGATAAGCCCTACAAGTGTCCCAACTGCAATAAAGGATACATAGATGCAGCCAGCCTGGAGGTGCACATGTCCACACACACTGTCAAACACGCCAAGATCTACTCGTGTGGTCTCTGCAGTCGCTCCTATACATCAGTAAGACAAATGTCCATTTCTGAAGAGCATTTCTACATGAAACACTTTGAAACGCCGCACTGGCATCAGACGCCTGGCAGCTACTTTACACCGTGTAGTCATGTGTCCACTGTTTCCCCTTTACCTATCCTCCCTTCATCTCAGGAGACCTATCTGGTGAAACACATGGAGAAACACAACCCAGACCAGTTGACTGCTCCTGCAGTCTCTGCAGCACAGTCAGCGCAACAGAGCCAAAGCCAGGCCCAGGGCCAGGCTGGAGCTCAGAGCCGTGTGGAGAGCACAGATGGAGGGTCGCGCCGGCCTGGAGGCGCGGGGAGCGGAGCTGCAAGCGGAGGTCAGCAAGGACAAAGCCAGAACAACTACCCTCAGACAGAAACCATGCCTTGTCCATTTGACCTGCATCAGTATAAGACTGTATCTGCCGGAGACATCCAGTACAAACCAGTCAGCGTGGCTGACATCACTTCCCACAAAGACCTCTGTCTCACCGTGTCAGCATCCACAATTCAAGTGGAACACCTCAACTCCTAGAGAGAAGGAAAGAAGGAAGGTGTTTTGGAGGTACTTGATTCACGTTGAGACAAATGGAGGATGGAGAGTCAAAGGATTAAAGCAATACTACGATAACATGAACTTTGGAAAGCATGACTGTGCCTGATTAAAGAATTGAGGCAAACATGACAAGATATATGCTGACAAGTTATGCTGATGAATTCTTTTTACTTTTTTTATTATTTCTCCAATTTTTCTTAGTTTCCTCTCTGCTTAGTTGTTCTGTCTGAGTGGAATCTGCATTCAAAGACTAAGTGTGTTTCAGTCCATCACAGTGATGGTTTATGTCGGATCTGTCTAAGAAAACGTGTTCCTTTCTGTTGCCTCCACCAAACGATCTTCCAAGCTAACACAGGTTTGACCATAGCAATGATGAAATGGGCTGTTAACTGTGAAGGTAATTTTTTATACTTTCAAACAAACTTTTAGTTTTTACATCAGTGTTCTGGCCTCGGCTTTCGCATAGCTTCATGCTTTGGATCTTTTAAACCTTGAAAGGAAACTAAAGTTTTATTTCCTTTTAAGCAAAAAAAAAAATACAAAAAACAATCAAGTATATAAAGTTATATACTACCACTTCATTATATTCAAATATCTAATGAATTAAAAGATAAATTTACTTGCAACTTGACATGACCTTTGAAGAAAAACGCAGCTTCTTGTGTCATGTAATCAAGTGTACTACTTTGTGTGTGTATATCCATAAGATATGGTTATCTTAATGTGTTCTTGGTATAATACTTCTGCATTAACAATGTTTATAATACATCTTTACAAAACATTGACTCATTTAAAGTTTGTGCAGCTGTTCTTTATGCTTAAAATACAATAAAGAATATAAAAGGCTTATTTAGTTTTCTTATATTTTTGAGTGGAAAGCTTACTGGAATTAATATTTGATGTTATGCATAATAATTTATTCGGTTTTGCAGAAGACCTATTAGGAAGCCCTGCCTCAAATCTTTTTTTACCCGTGGGGAGTTTTAAAGTATACGCTTTTGTAATTTTGTCCAGTATATCTTTTTTTTAATTAACTGGCTTCAATTGCTACAATATTAATAGGGTCAGAAGGGGAAACAGGAATAGAGTAGTTGTTGAAACTATCTTAAAAACACCAAGACATTTCTCTATGGAAAACCCTTTACTTGATTCATTAATTGACCCCAAATTTGATTGTACCAATCTACCTATTTTCCTGCTGAAAACCCTTCCCTGAAATGAACGATTACTGTCATGACTTAAGAAAAATCTATCTGGACTGAAAGACTGGCAGCAAATTTCTTAAGAAAAAAAAATACGAATATATAAGCAATGTCTTAATAAAGAATTTATCATGAAGAAGGTAAAAGGAAACGTATAACTGGAGAAATCTACACTGCGAATAGCAGAAACAGAAATATCTCTTTTTGCTGTTTTTTTTGTTTTGTTGTTTTTTTCTCCTTTTTTTCCATCAGTGTCTCTTGAAAAAATGAATATCGTGGCTAAAAGACACCTAAAGTAGAAATACGAGAACATGTGAATCGGAGATAAGCCATTTGTCAGTGAGGGAATTTTAGGATATTTGAATTCCTGTTAAAGATGCTGTAGATCTAAAAACACTTTAGAAATAGTTTGCATCAATTCTCATTCTATACTCTGAGAACACTGCCACACATTTTTGGAGATCTATATTAAGTAATTTAATTCACTTCAATCTAGACAGTTCTATATTTTTATAAAAAAATTCAAAATATTTTGAGCGGAAGGAAAGTTGCCAAAATGTACGTTTAAATACTTGTTACATTTTAAAAACACTAGAAATTAGAATTCCTACTTAAAAATTTGCTAATTTATGCCATTTTAATATTTCATTACTGTACGGCTTAGTGCAGATCAAATCTTAGTTTAAATTACAAGGAATGTTTATGATGTTGTGTTACATTTGCTGTATGGGAGTCATCTAACAGATTATGTAGGCCAAATTACCTTTTTGTATGGACAATCAAATTGTGTTTTGAGCTTTTTAGACACTGAAACATGATTGTTAAATATAAAGATATTTTTGAAATTTTTCTTTTTTGACTTTTGGTCATCCGCACAGAAAGCACGCCTAAAAAATCTAGATTTAATAATGCCTATAAAACTACAGATAAGCGTATGATTTGTTTAATTAGGGCAACGACCTTCCAAGGTGGTTAAAGCGTGTCTACTGGAATGTGCACATTTATTAGGTGTTTACAAAGGTGGGTTGTACCATAAGTGCGGGGGAGAGGCGATGTATGGTAGTTGTTTTTTCTGATTCATTTCACTTTCAACGACAGCTTATCGCCCTTTTAAAACTTAAAAAGATATTTTTTTTGTAGACAAAAAGTATGATAAGAACCAAAACGAAGGTTTTGGTAGACCCTCCAGTTTGGTTTCGTCCAACATTCTCCGCAGTCTGCAGTGGGTGTTGCGTCACAAAAAAAAGTGTAGGAGTCCAGAAACTTCACTCATGTAAATAACGGCAATTATAAAGCTGCATGGCTACACTGAACAGCGACACGCAGTATTAGATATATTCACCAGTGTTCCCCTACGTTTTTGACAATGCCGCGGAAAAAGCCATTTAGTAACAAACAGAAGAAGAAACAGTTGCAGGTCAAACGCGAAAGAAAGAGAGGTAAGTTAACGTTTTAGTTGCTGTTAGCATTAGCATGCTAACGTTAGCCGTTAGCTCCACATCCGAATTCTGTTGTGGTAAAGTGTCCCTCCGTGGTAAAAGGTTGCGCTAAAGGTTACTTGGGACATCGCTACAATAATGTAGTCTGATGAATGTAAAGGTGCGCTGATGTTTGTTTAGATAGCATCGTTTCACTCATAGTGTAACTTAGCGTCCAAGTTGAATAACAAACTTAAGCTTAGTAGGGTTTTACTGAATAAATTATGATCTGAATTACAGTTGATAGTCTGGAGTCAATGGAGCACGTTTTTCTATGCTGTGAAGTTTGTAAACAGTGTAGTGACTGTTACTCCATGTGTTATGAAGCGAGTTTTTCTACAGGATAACACTGTTTTGACTTCACGAGCGGCTGCTTAATGCATCGCCTTCTGTTCAGTTTCACTCCAAGGTGAATATTGTGGAGAATATCTTTAAATATCCCTTAGGCTTTACAGATGACACCTGACTGATATTACGCTAATTCAGACATTACGTATTGTGTATAGTGTAAACACCAAAACAAGCAATGCCCTTGTATAAAGTTTGTCACAAAACTTAAAGAAACATTTTACTAGTATTTAAAAGAATAATAATAATAATAATAATTAAGTTATTTCTAATATTTTTATTATATGTTGTCACAAGACACAACAGTTCCTTAAATGATTTTATCAAATTCATCTAACCACCTAATATGTCGACTGAAGTGTTTTATGACCAACATATTAAAGGAATAGTACACCCAAAACATGATTAGCCTTCATTTTCTACTCACCCCCATGCTGAACAACACTCTGGAGTACTTTTTTGATATCTCAAAGGCATCTGGAGATCTGGGAGGCTTCTTGCTGTCTGCTGACATTCAAATAATGGAGGTCTATGGTGCCCGAGGCAGAAAGGTCCATAAAAGTCCACAAAAAACGTGTCAATATTCCTCCATACTGCTCGTCCAATGTATTCCAAGTGTCCTGAGTGGGTAGCATCCAGAATTTACTCAGTACGAAGTCATTTAGAATGTTTTTAGAGCATAAACAGTAGTGTATATGATTTCCTGAAAGCGCGCGCCGGCGCGTTCATGACGCTACGGAAACCGCGGCAGACCAAACCAGATGAAAGTGCGCATTCAGCTCGGCAAAGAACTCATGCTCTTCCTCAACACTGAAGTCCTCAGACATTTTTCTTTCGTTGTTTCTTTCTTTGCACAGGTAAACAGCACATTTCTTCTTCTACGCTTGCATTATCGTCAGAGCAGACGCTGAATGCGCACTTTCATCTGGTTTGGTCTGCCGGCTTCCGTAGCGTCATGAACGCGCCGGCGCACGCTTTCATGAAATCCTATACACTACTGTTTATGCTCTAAAAACATTCTAAATGACTTCGTTTCGAGTAAATTCTGCATGCTACCCACTCAGGACACTTGGAATACATTGGACGAGCAGTATGGAGGAATATTGACACGTTTTTTGTGGACTTTTATGGACCTTTCTGCCTCGGGCGCCATAGACCTCCATTATTTGAATGTCAGCAGACAGCAAGAAGCCTCCCAGATCTCCAGATGCATTTGAGATATCAAAAAAGTACTCCAGAGTGTTGTTCAGCATGGGGGTGAGTAGAAAATGAAGGCTAATCATGTTTTGGGTGTACTATTCCTTTAAAGCACATTTGGAGACACCACATTAACTTATGGATACAGTCAGAAAAGAAGATCATCATGTGAAGCAGCCAGCAGGTAACTCTAGAGGAATTGCACCAATCTGCTGCTAATGTGGGAGAATGTGTTGACAGGAGTCTTGCAAAGAGTGGAAAGATAAAAGGCTGTTTGAATCTTGTTTATGTTTACCACAAGCCATGTTGCAAAGCCAACAAACGTGCAAACACAAAGTATATGTATAGTAAAAACTAACCTTGCACATTGTGAGGAACATGTCAGCCCAACATTAAACCATGGTGGTCGCACCATTATTTTATGAAGTGGCATTTGTCCAGCAGAGACAGGAAAACTTGTCGGAGTGAAAAAAGCTGGACACATGGCAGGCCTGGATTAAAAAAAAAATCAACTTAAGACTGAATGAGAGGCTGGTTCATTTTGGTTTGAGTGTGACGATAACTTCATCTATAACTTCATCTTCTAGGTGACACAGGTTCTGGCCCAAGCAGCCGCAATGCCAGCGTGGAGCGAGGAGGAGAGCGTCAGTCCGACACCTCAGATAGTGAAACCACAGATATTAGAAGAATAAATCAGCAGCCCTTTGGCAGAGATGGTAGACATGATCCAAACAGGTGAGTTTTTTCTTAAGGTTTTTTTTTTTTAAAGAAATGAAAGGCTCCCTTTTGCGCTCATTGCTGCAGCATTGTTTCACCGGAGACCTGCATTAGAACAGCTTTACATGCAGTCCTATTAAAAGAGATTGTATTCTATTTGCTCTGATGAGTAACCCATACTCACCAGCCTATTGTTGATATCATTAAAGATATGGTGAAATGGAAATGGTAAATATTGGAGACTAATCTGCTTAACCCTTGTTTAGATTTTGACAAAATAAGATTTTTGTCATGTTTGATATTTTTTCTCCAAGGTTTCGGCTTCACTTTGAGAAAGAGAGTAAAGAGGAGGTGATAAGGAGGAAGAAGCTGGCCATGGAGACGGTGTTGAAACCGGCTTCTGATAAAGAACTCGAGGTCAACATAAATGAAATCTACCCTTCAGAGAAAGGTCTGATTATTATATTTTTATGATATATCTCCAAAGCCCCTAGATGAGCAGTGAGATTATGAGTCACTTCTTCACCTGCTGAGTTTTAATCATCCTCCACCAGGTCTTGGCTTCCCGCGACGACCATCTTGGACTTATGAGATGTCTCGAGAGAGCCTAATGAGGAAAGAGGAGAAGTCATTCAGAGACTACCTGGAAGAACTGCACTCCAGAAACCCACCGGGCTCTCTCAGCCACTTTGAGCACAATCTAGAGGTAACCTTTTTTTACCGTGGTGGACTGCCACTAAAAAATATTTATTACATAATCCAGTGGTTGACTTGGATTTTCTTTTTCCTAAAGTCACATTTAAAAAAAAAAAAAAGCTACATGAGATTTTTTTGTGTATGTTCCAACTCTACCTTTGTTGTCCAAACAAAGTTGCATATGCATACTTTTTTTTAAAGTCACAATTTTGCTGTTTTATAGGATCACTTCCATTGAAATTTTACTAGTATGTTTTTTTTTCTTCATCTATATAAAGTTCCCAGAAACTAGCAGGTTTTGGTGATATTTTGGTGGTTTTTAGCTTGATAGGTGTAAGTTCCTATAAGCACATTTAGAAATGTCTAATATTTTCTATTTTTTGAGGCTCTTAAATAACACAAATACAACAGCTTTAAATTTTCGACCCTTGAGAACAAGTGGTATAAGTTGATATAAAGAATCAGTGGAAAACAGCCACTTATTCATACATCTAGAAGAACAAGAGAAGAACAAGTCTTTTATTTAACATACACTTCATACATAGTAGCATGTTGCGCCTAAATACTACTTTAAATGTTAGTCTGAGATGTAGTTTCTACAAATAGCATGATAATTTGTGTTTTCTAAATGCTAATCATGAAAAAGGTGCAAAATCATGCACATCCTGAGGAAGTTAAGACTAGATTCTGGACCACAAAGGCATCACGGATAGATCAGGGACAACAGATGAAAAATAGCCTCTTGGCTAATTCTGGTGTGTTTCCAGCTATGCTAATTAATGTGTTCTCGTTCCTGTCAAAAAAATTAAACAAATTAATAAAATAAAATAAAAAATGATCGTCATACTAGTTGTAGTTCTTCTTTTTCATCTGAAGATGAGGCCCAAGATATGTCCGTTTGGCGAATAACTTTTCGTTTCATTATTTGCTAAACCAGGCATCCCCAAAGTCGGTCTTCGAGGGCAGCTGTCCTGCAGGTTTTAGAGGTTTCTCTGCTTTAGCACAGCTGATTCTGATGATTGCAGTCCAGTAAAAGCCCTTTAATCAACTATCAATGTAAATCAGCTGTGCTAGAGCAGGGAAATCTCTAAAACCTGCAGGAGAGCGGCCCTCGAGGGCTTACTTTGGGGATGCCTGTGCTAAACATACCATAAAGTTCCTCAACTTGGCTTGTTTATGTCTTGACTTTGTTTTTGTTTTTTCATTTTCGTTAATTTTTATTGTTATTTATATTATGGTAACTGCCCAGTTGGACATTAGAAGGACATTTTTTTTTTTAGTACAGCTGCGTTAACATTCTGCCACATACACTAGGGCTGTGTCCAAACATCCGCTCTTACCTCTAAATCCCTCAATCACTATATAAAGCGGGGACTATATAGTGGACTTTATAGCAAACTCAGTTAACTGACCGTTTGGACAGGTGATCACTACTTTGCACTCCCCGTTGGTCACGTAACTCCACTTCCACCACACAGTGCCTATGCCATCTTTGTTGTTAGCGGGCCACTCTGACAGCAAATCCCATAATGCTTTGCGAGGAGAGCTCTTGCAAAGCATTTCGGAATATATCTGCTCGTCTAGTGACCATGGATGATCACTAATTTTTAAGGTGCATAGTGGGAAATTTTTTAGGCCACTAATTTTTCATCCACTAGACGTTGGGACACTCATTTAAAATGGTTTTACTACTATATAGTGCTCTATATGGTGATTAGGACGGACATTTGGGCACGGCCTAGGTCTCAGAAGAACACCTGAAAACTGGTGATGTTCTAGAAGGAAAGTCTGGAAAGCTTTACTGTTAATCACTGTTTTATTTTTATGTTTTCTCTTATCCTAATTTCAGACATGGAGACAGCTGTGGAGGGTTTTGGAAATGTCTGATGTCATCCTTGTTATCGTTGATATAAGGCACCCGGTAGGTGAGCCTGTTAAGTGAGGTTGTCATAATGGATCAGGCCACTAGGCTGAGTCACTGTCAGTAAAACTCCTCCTGTTTCAGATGGTGCTAATTGATAATCATTTACCTGGTAAGCATCTCTTAAAAGTAAAATGTGTGTTTCTGTGACCACTCAGGTGCTGCAGTTTCCTCCTGATCTGTACCGTTACATAACAGCAGACCTGCATAAGCAGATGATTCTGGTGTTGAACAAAGCTGACCTATGTCCCCCTCCACTGGTGATTGCCTGGAAACACTACATGACCTCCCAGTTTCCTCACTTGGAAATAGTGTGCTTCACATCCCATCCTGGGCAATCCTACAACACAGGTGAGACCCTGTTAGCTTGAACAGATGATTATCTGCTATCCTTTGTACCCATTATTCTGTTCCTCTTAAAGTGCTGCAGAAGAAAAGGATGAGAAAGAAGGCTGACTGGAGTCGGCCTGGAGGTCTTATCGACATCTTTAAGGCTTGCCAAGAGATCACAGCCGGAAAAGGTGAGGTGCTCTTACTCTTCATCTTAATAACTGATGTTTCATAGTGACAGATGACCCTCCCTGCATTTATGCTGATCCTCAAAATGTTTCACATTTCCATCGCTTTCATGTCCTTTTCTCAGTTGACCTCTCCAGCTGGGAACAGAAGATTCACAGAGACGCCGTCGCAGAACGACTGGATGGAGAGTCACACGAAGACGGAGCTGAGTCAGTGTTAGTAGAGCATCAGACTGACAGCACTTTAGAGATGAGCAACCAGGAGCTCTACAAAGATGGAGTTCTCACATTAGGCTGTATAGGTGAGTTTTATCAAAAAATGTTTTATCTGTGTATTTTTCTTTCAATCACTTGCTTCATCTCTCTAGTGTATTTTCATCCAGCTTTCATTTTCAGTAAACCAGGCGTTTCCAATGCAGTAAAAACTGAACGGCATTTCCAGGCATGCTAAATTTGCAGCCGACCAGCAAGTTGGAGTGAGAGAAAACTTGTGGTTGCATCTCCAAACTCCACTACTGCTGCTAGTTTTGTTGTAGCTGGAATACAGTCTATTTCTTATTGAAAAACCAGCAAAAGGACAGGATTTCTGCCTTTGTAGACGGGAAGATGTTTGCGGGTTCCCCTCGACCGGATTTGGTAGGAGTTGGGAAACAAATCAAGCTGCTACTGCTCCTGTGATTGGCTAAAATATTAAAATGGGATGCAGGTAGCCAATCAGCTCAAAGAATTTTACTGAATGTCCCTCTCCTTTGCAATCATGAGGCTTTCCAGATCAATATTGTAGTTCATTTTAAATTCTTTACAGTTATCATATGGATTATGCCAGGTTAGTAATACAGTGGAGGAAACCCAGAAAATTTCTCTACAGCAGTGTACACACTGACTACATCCTGCACAACTTCCTTGCAGCATTTTATCCATATTAACCAGCTTCCATTAGTTTTATTTTTTCCCTTGTGATTTATGGGGTAAAGAAAAACAAATTCTTACAGGCAGTCGGTTGGCTTAAAAAACAGAACCAGTCATTAATGAATCCTCTTATGACCACCTTGCCCCTACCTCTAAAGGTTGCGCTCTCTAACCGCTGGCCGGAGTGTGTGCGAGCACACATGACTCACCATGAGGATGACTCTGTACAATGCAAATAAAACTGTTTAAAGATATATGTTAGAGTACCTGAATTCTAACCTCTGGTTATTTTTTTTTCCAGGTTTTCCTAATGTTGGTAAATCATCTGTAATAAACAGCCTAGTTGGGAGGAAGGTTGTCAGCGTGTCTCGAACGCCAGGTCACACCAAATACTTCCAAACCTACTACCTCACCCCGACAGTCAAAATGTGCGACTGCCCCGGCCTCGTCTTCCCCTCCTGTGTCAATAAGCAGCTACAGGTACTTTTCTGTGACTGGGTTTATTTACCTGTTCATAATCTTAGATGTGTCAAATACCACAGCTGGTTTTATCTATCTCAGGTTGATGTCTTTCAGAAGACTCTAGTTGAAAAGTGGATTTCTGTAATGGATGAAGACTCTAAAATTTGTTTAGGTGTTGCTGTGCATTGCTGCTTCCTGCCTCCAAGTCATTGATATTTATTTTCCCAAGATTCTAGCAGGTATTTACCCCGTAGCCCAGCTGCAGGAGCCCTACACTTCAGTCGGTTATCTTTGTGAGAGGATCCCTTACCTTTCCGTGCTGAAGCTCAAACACCCCAGTTTGCAAGAGAAGGGATCTCAGCAGGAGCGGCACGGTACTACAGAACCCAGTTGGACTGCCTGGGAGGTGTGTGAAGGTAAGGAGTTAAATCCTGCAGCAAGTGTTTAGGTACACCCCAAAGCCGTGTGATGCAAACACCAAGGAAGGTTTTCTGACATGAATCAGGTGATTCGCTAAAGAATGTGATTGTGGATTGCGTGTCTGTCTTCTCAAACGTCCCTGTGTTCTGGAGGTCTCCTCCTTTTGAACAGAAATCATTCCTCTCTAGTGTCGCCTCACACTTCATTCATTTGACAGATTGCTGCCCAGTTAATGACCAGATGTAGCTGGCTGGGCTTTACTTTGAAGCTTTTAACTAATTGACATTGGACTGGAATGTATTATGGGTAGGATTAAACTAGGACTGCTATGAAAATTCGACACAATCAACAACTCATTTTCAAAAGAAGAAAAAGGTGATGCAAAATTTTATGAGTCAAATATTAATTTAACGATATATAAATATTTCTATACCTTTCAATATTTCACTTAGTGGTAGTTCATTAAGGTTGCTGCAGAGGGCAGCATAGCTTTAGTTCTCAAGTAAGTAATAACAGCGCCAGATCTCAACTGAAGCTCCAATATCTAAGATCTACTGTTCAGCTTATTTCACTGTTTCATTTATCAGTGGGATTGTTAGGATTAACATGGAGTTGCATATAAGATGTAGTTTCCTTTAACCTTTATATCTAACCGAGAGTATGTTTGGGAATGACTTATTCAGTCCTATTTCTTTAAAGTTTATGCTGCAAATATTTCCTCATAAAAGCGAAGAAGCCCAACTTAAAAAAATATAAGTCCTTGTAAACATTAAGCATTGTTAAGAGTTAAAAAATACACATTTGGATATTTGACGTTTTAATTGTAAATATATTTTTGATAGAAATAACATTAAAAACAAAGTTAAATTAAAAACGTATATTTGATAGATTTTCCTTTATAAAGGTAACAAAAGAAGCAATGGAAGCACATTCAAAGGTTTGTAGAAAAGGACATCTGAGTCAAAACATTTTTACAAGCAACCAAGATGTAACTTTTATTAATAAAAGAATGTGATGCCGGAGAATGTAATTGTAATTGTTAGTTTCAGCCTGAGATCTAACTGAAAGACATTAACTTGATATAAATCCATTCTTAATCTATTATACATACAAAAATCTCATTTTTGTATGTATAATAGATTTGTTTATTTTTTTAAGATGGCAGAAAAACAATCTGAGCAATAGAGGGACAAGAGCAGTGTACTATTGCTAAATTCAAAACAGATTTAGACCCAATCCCAGTACAACCCCTATGTTCAATCAATACCCACGCATCCTGGAATTGAAGCCACAGCGGTCAGGGCTTTGTATTATTCCCTAGGAATTGTGACTCCCCTTTGCTGCGTACTTGACATTCTGGTATGTAAACGACTGCACATTTACGTACGCACATACCGTACATAAGATGCATGCCATACAACATCCTTACATCTGTAGCAGTTAGCTTAGAGGCTAGCTCCATCCAGCCGTAGCCTCTCTTAGCTCTGTCTCCGTGCCAGGCTTCTCCACTGCTGTCCTACTCATGACCAGCTGTACACTGTGTTGCTGGTCTATAGCTAGCCCTGGTCAGCTGTAGCCTCTTTCCCCCTTAGCCTCTCCCCATCAAGGCTATTGGTGCAAGTAAGGGGTGTACTGGGATTGGGCTTTATCATTAATTAAAGGTAAATTATGGTAGGAATGTGAGCACAACCAATGATCTTCCGGCTTGCTAAGAAGGTGGTTTGAAAGCGGTGTGCAGGAAGCCATTTATGTTAAAAGAGAAAAAAACAGCCTTAAACAGAGGGGGTGTTCTCAGGTTCCAATTCTCAAAAACCTACAACGCAGCAATAGAGTTGATAATTTCCGCTATCATCTAAACCCCCATCTCTATGCAGGGGACCAAAACATCCCGCCTGGTCAGCCTTGCCAGCAGTGACCCTAACGACTCCCCTTTCAGAGGCATAGGCCAGTATTGGGTATTGCAGGCTAACAAAGACCTCTACGACTCCCCATTACTAAGTGCTGGACCTATTCTTTTGGTTAAATTTGCATGTGTTCTAAGCCATAACAAGGCTTTGTTGGGCTACTCTATAAAGCTTGGAAACCAAGACAAAAGAATTGAAAAATTTTCCTGGATGGGAAGCGAAACGTCTTCAAACTTAGAAAAACAGAAGAACAGAATATAGTTGAATTGATACTGATAAAAACGAAAAGCAACACTGGAATACTAGCATTTGTCATCTTCTGCTTATCTGGGACCGGGTCCCGGGAGAATCCGTCTCAGCTGGAACGCCCAGACTTCCCTCTCCATAGACCCCTCCACCACCTCCTCTGGGGAAGACATAGGAATCCCCTGGGCGTCCTTCCTGTGGGACATGCCTGGGACACCTAATAGGGGAGGAATCAGAAATGATCCACCTCAATTGTCTCCTCTCGATGTGGTGGAGAAGCAGCTCTACTCTCCACCATCTTAATGTGGTAGAGGGGATTTGGTTCTCAGAGTATCGCAGAGGCTATGATGATTGGGGCTTAAATGGCCCTGAGTGACCGGTCAGGCAAAGAGCGGTTCAAAGGCCTTCATGATGGACTCAGGTTTGTCAGGTTAATCTGTATTGGACCCAGTCGGGTCAAGCCCAAACAAAAAATGTTCCCTCTACTACCTGCAGTGGGAACCCTGAGTTACAGTGCTAAGTGGATTGGACAGCAGTCAGGAGGGCTCTGATCCTTGGATGCCTTAACTGGCTCTATGAATGTGTAAATAGTAAAATATAGATATTGAAATGAATAGGATTCATTAATAGAAGTTAAAGTATGCATTGTGATTGAATTACTTTAGTTTAAAATAGGAAAGCAACATTTAATCCTGCTGCTGCTAAAAAAAAATACAGTAAATGATGGTTTAAATTCTAAAGCATAGAGCATTTATTGACGTAGGAAAACTCACCTTTCCCATCTGGTTTGCAGTTTGCGTCTTTCTTATCAAAGGACTTCCAAACATAGGGATGTTATGAGGGAAAATGTATTCAGTTTTGAAGCTTTAAATTTCTAGGTGTTAATCCAAAAATTTGCCCCATGGGTCTTAAACGTATCAAATCCTTTTTGATCTCTCAGCCCCGGTTTGTGAGACATTTGGTTTATTGAACATACTTTAGCTTTTGGTCAAAGATGAACCGAGCTGCAGAAGAATTGCTCATTCATTTGAGCTTTTCAATATTAGACTTCATCTTTTTAAGGAAATAGAAGACAGGAAATCTGTAGGCATCTATTTATTATGGATATTATCACTTGGTATAATGTTTCCCCTGACAGCTCCTATTAGAAATGCCTTTTTTTGTCTTTCTTTTTTTATTTTTTTATTTGTGGTGTTCAGCTTGGGCAGAGAGGAGAGGCTATAAAACGGCTAAAGCAGCTCGGAATGACGTTTATCGCGCAGCAAATAGTCTAGTAAGGCTGGCGATTGATGGCAGACTGTGTCTCTGTCTGACGCCTCCTGGCTACAGCTGTCTCAAAGGTAAGAGCATTTACTCCTCATGGTAAATAGAGCTAAATTGGCTCAAACTGACTTCTTTTTTTGGGGGGGTTGTTTATGGTAAATAGAGCATTGGGAAAACCACCCGGACTTGCCAGATATCATGGCTCTTCAAGGAAGGGCGGCAGAGGAGGAAGGAAGTGCAGAACGGGAAGATGAAGAGGACGGAGAGTCAAGCTCCGAACCTGAGGAGGAGAGAGACAGGGACGCTGATGATGACGAGGACGGCGATGATGAAGATGAGGGATTTGAACATCAGGGCCAGAATGTTAAGAAGCCATCAGGCTTTACTATCAACATGTACAACGTTCTACGGGAAAAAGACTGTGAGTGACAAAAAGAGGAAAGCCGAGAAATAACTGTTCCTGCTTTTCCCAGTCTGCTTCAGAGCACTTTTCATTCCTTCTTCCCCTTCAGCCTGCATTCCCTCTCAGTTTATAACAGTCTGCTTTCTTTCTGTCCTTTGCCCTCCAGCACATCCTACCGATCATATTTATGTATTCCACACTGTGACTCCGCTCTGCTTGTTTGTCCTCAAACCTCCACCTTCCCTGTTCCTTTAGGAGCAGCTTCAGTTTGATCTTTTCCATTTTTGCATGTTGTCCTTAGAGACAAATGAGCAAAGAAATTCCCTGAGCCCGTAGTCGACAACCAAACTGAAAGAAAAGCGACCTCATGCCAAAGTTTAGAAAAGACGATGAAATGATTCAGATGCTCATTTAATATGGAATCAATCACTCAAGCTGCCTATTTTGGCTCTAAAAGAGACTGCAGATTTAAGGACTCTAAATTTTCTTTATGGGGCGTAGCATTTGGTTGATGGGTGCGGGAATGAAAATTGGAGATCCAAACCCACAAAACAAGAACTGATAAAACCAACTCTTCACGGTTTTACAGTTAGATATTTTGCAAGCATGTCAGCAGGTCATTAATCTGAGCAGGGCTTTAGTTTAGTTGATAAAAAATGTGAGAGTAACTTTGGATTTTTGACTCCTGCTGTGCTGGAGAAGGCTTCTTCAGGATGTAGTGTTTTAACTACTGCAAATGTCCTTCAGCTGCTGACTGAGACATATTAAAATTGTCCGGTTTGAAAACGCGTTGCGTTATAAAGAGATTTTGGCAGGGGGGGGATTTTCAACAGTAATTATTACTCTCTTGCAAGGATGTGTTCATCTCAACAAATAGAGACAGCATTATTTATCTGATACTATAAAGCAGATCATGCTTGTAAAAATGACCTCTAAATCTAGTTTTATACATCTGTAATAAAGTTGAGGTTTAAAAGACTTTAATACTCCGTAAACGCACAGCTCGTGGATTTAATTATTTTTTCAGATTAAAGAACATTTTCTTTGTCTTGCTACTTTCACATGTCGGCTGCTAGTTGCTTGGCCAGCATTCACACTCCCACCATCAGCTAGATGTTGAAACCTGTTGAGATGTAAACCATTTCTTTAGCTAACCAGCAATGGAAACCGATCACTACAAATTCCAGTTCATCACATCCAAGGACACTATCTCTCATTAATCGGACATTGTTTTTTAATGCGAGACATTTCTTTTAGATCAATCTGTTATTTCTCACCTCTGATGTTTGACGGCCATGTTGCCGTTAGTGGTTGCTGCTGTGAGCTCATTCTTATTTCAACACACTGCTGGGTTACTTTGCGGTACAGTAATATAAGCTGGTTTCTAAAATCCGAGGTTTGAACAAAGTATTTTTCTGGTCTGAATGAGTAAAGAATATATTCTTATTCTGAGGTTCTATGGTCATCATATACTGCTTTGTATCCTCCCTTCCTAGCTTGCTACCTGCCTTCCTTTCTGTCTTTTTTTCAGATATTTCCTTTCTTTCCTTTAGTGTTATTCCTTCCTGTCAATCCTTGGTTTATCAAGATTCTTTATTTAAACCCTGATCCCTTTCAATTATCTGCAGTAGATTCTTGTTGAAAATGTCTAATTTGCATTTAATAAATTTACACAACAGAGAAATTTGAAATGTAGTGTCTGAGGTGTTAGTAGGATCCTGAATAAAATCAGATACATAACAATACAGTTCTATTTGAACTTGATAGGTTTGAGCTGTGCTATTGCAGAACTTTATATCTAAAAACAAACAAACATGAAACACATGGAGAATGAGCTGTGAGAATAACAAAGGGCTCAAGGTGTATTCAGGCTATTTTCTGCATTCCCCATTTCATTCCTAGTTTGCCTTATGACTGGATTGCTTTCTGCAATTAAAGAAGAAAAGCTTCAAAAATCTTCTGGTCATTGTTTTTTTTTTTTTTTTTATAACATCTGAAGGATATTTGCTGATACTGTTCATTAGCTCACCATAAACACCTTCTCTCATATACTTTGTCTTTTTTTTTTTTTTTAAGAAGCACATAATTGGACTGAGAGGAAGTGAGACCAAAGATCTGATTTTTACAAGCCTGAAGGAGCTCTGTGATATCCCTGAAAAAGTATTCATACCCCTCGTCAGAGGAGGACAGAAGTCAACTTTTTTTTTTAGTTTTTACAGCACTAGTGGCTAGTTTTTTTCCGACAGTAGGCTGACAGGAAAGGTGGTATGAAAGAGAGGGAGAGATATGTGGGAAAGGACCACAGGTCGGCTTCGAACCCGCCCGCGTTGAGGAGGCCACAGTTCATGGGTCGTGTGCGCTAATCACTGCTCCACCTGCATACCCCAGATGTCAAGTTTAGTGGAATCGGATACCTGCTAAATTCAGCATCACATCTATAAAACTAAGATGGCATCATTATGCTATTTAATGTTGTTATCCAATTAACAGGACTATCCTCGTAGAAAACCCATTAAAGGTTGCAAAACTGGCAGCTAATGGTGGAATAGCAAATAATTCAAGCTCCTTAGATTTTCTGTCATTTGTTTAAAGGAAAAGTCCAGTCAGCAAGGAATAACCAATGGGTCATTATTTATACCTAAAACTAATACGATTTAATGAATTAAGCGTTAATCGGTAAAAAAAAAAACATTTTTTGTCATGACCACCGAGTCTGGGACCGGCCAAATATAGTAACACCTCACTCCTGACATCTTGCGGCAGAAACGTCACAGTGCGGTAAGCCGAAGGCCATTCTCCCTGATTTACAAGCAAAATCAATGGGAGCTAATAGACACCCCTGCAATCAACAACAATTATTTAAGATTTCGAGAGGACTTCACCATTGAAATTTACAAGAGCTATAGTTAAACTGACAATGCCCATGTGCATGGCAGTTGGATGGTAGAATACATGAGGAAAAAAATGTGTTATTTCACCTCTCCGATTCATGATCCCACATGGATTCGTTGTTGGATTGCCAACTTGAAGAGGGAGGATTTTCCATCGAACTTCTGGCCAGAGGAAAAAAAACACGTCATTAATCTCTGCTTCACATAGTGCACTATTCGACGTCATCATTGATAATAGCGCGTTGCAGCACTGGGACTTGCTCAACAGCCAATACCGCACCTTCTTAGACTAATTTAGGGCCTTTCCTGGGAAGGTTCCATGTTTTCTGTATTTGTAGAGAACATTTATAACAGGTTATTTATAACAGGTTCTTATGGTTGTTGACTTAAAATTTTGATATAAGCATCTGTTGACTGCTAGATCCAGACTTTTTTTTTCATATTTTCTTAATTATCTTCAGTTAGAGCTGTTACATGATGCTTTTTGAGAATGTTTATTCTATTTAACGCTGCTTGACATGTTAGTATTTTTTTTATTTAACAGATTTTGCTGTAGATGTTGCTAGGGCCACTGAACCAAAGATTAATATAATTATGGTTTGATAATTTAACAAGATGATGAATACATTTTACACTCATCTCAAGGTTGATAGCTTTTTTTTCCTTTAGTAAACGAAACATATTTATAACACAATTTTGTATTTCTGGTTATCTTTAACTGAAATGTTTTATATTGCAACATGGGGAGAAACATCTATAAAGACTTTTACTGCTGACTCACACCTCTGAATATTTTGATGCCTTTTTTTCTCTTATTTTGCCTCATTATTCAGTCCAATTTGGTATGAAAATATTTCCCTCTGAATTCAAACCTTGAATGAAGTCCTCCACATCCCCCTAGTTTCTGGAATCAGCAGGAGTTGAAAAGACTCCTGCAGGGGTCAGTGAGATGAGTTTTAGCTTGCAGAGGGACTGCCACATTAACATGCACAGAAGGTGTACGCATATCCTCACTTAATATTATGACCCAAAAGTAAGGATACTGCATATACTGTCCAGTAGATATATCAATTCTATTATAAAGAAAGCAACCAAAAGAAACCCAAGTGAGTTATTTACATTTGTGAAGCATAATAAGAGATAAAGATACTTGCTTTTAGATGCGAAACTGAAATATATAAATTACACATTCGCTTTTATTGCAGTGTTGTTTGTTTCTCAAAACACATTCAGTTTTTAGTTTCCAAAACGTCTTAGACACGCTGCTCTTTAGATAAACAGAGCTGGTCGTACAATAAAACATAACTTCTTAGAGTCTACTGTTTCCACCAGCTGTGAGACATATGGAAAATATTACCACCTTTCCCAACCTCTAGTAAGATGATTTTCATGCTGTTATCTGACAACATTTCCTGGCCTCGCCTTCAGATTTATGTCTCAGTTGAATGCTGTCTGTCCCTGCCATGGCACATAAACTATGTTTTTGTTTATAAAATTGTTTGCCAAACTGTTTTCAATCTTGACGCCTCTCCAACCCACTTTTGCCAGAGTAAATCTGACCGCAGGTCATTATCTCATTAGGTTTTATCACGACCCGTTGGGCACTGCTCATGAGCAAACTGAGACAGCGATTACAATCACAACCTAGTGCTTCCACAATCATTATTATATACAGATGGAAGTGGGTGGAAAACCCCACTCCATCCCCGCCATTCAGATTCGGTGCCAACTTATGTGTCACTTGGAGAAGCTGTGGGGCTGAATGAACTCTGAGGGAGGAAGTGAGAAATCATCTGGAATTGTTTCCGATCCACAGGCGGAGAAATGAGCTGCTTAATTTCCCCAGTCATATAGATCGTACTATATTGTGGCCTTCAGACCTGTAAGTCCATAATTACAGACAGACAAAGACCCCAGATTTACTGGGGCACGACACCGTAAATTTTAAATCTGTTAATTAAATTCTGCTGCTCTGAATATCTCTGCTGCCAGCATCGGCCACACCAATAAAACCCATGTGGCTTTAATTTGAGCTCCCTCTATTTTATTTTCGAAAGCCTTTGCATGAGTTTTCTGAAGTGCCTAAAAATGGTTTGCTTATAAAATGTACTGCTTTATTTGAAGGGAAAGAAAACAGAATAAACATTCTAAAAATCAATATATGTTCTAGGTAAATAGGCATTCTTAATTTCCATTGTTTACCAGAATTATCCGCAAAATCAATAAGTTGATTACAATTTACATTTAAGAAAGCTTTTGACTGTTTGTATATTTTTGTGTAAAGAACCATTAAAGCTTAAAGAAATTACATTTGGAGTCCCACAAGGTTCAGTGTTTGGACCTTAACTTTTAACCCAGCAAACAGTTACCATGCCCTGCAAAACCCTTCGCTTTTTCACTTTTTTCTCCATCAATGTATTTGTTTCCTTTGCTTTCTTTATTGTCTTTAGAT